TTTTTGGCTCTCTTCATTTAATGAGCTGGCCACCCCTGCTCTAGACTATGGCTAGTGTCCTTCAAAGTCGTCATGACACTAAACTGTGGAGACACTCAAAAGGCCTCCTGCCACATTCCTGCCCCGGCCCAGGAGATCTGGTAGGAGCTGGGGACTACACGTCAGGCAGGGGCGAACTCAGAGGGGGCTGAAACCTGGGGGGGAAGGGAGAGCAGAGGAGCCGGGTTAAAAGAACCTGGGATGGGGATGGAGATAAGTGTATGCAAATTAAATCATGCATATTTATCAACTATGCAAATGTGGCATGGCTGTATTTGCATAGGGTCCCTATTTGCAGGCCTACCACCCTGAGGGTCAGGTCCTGCCCTGCCTACCAACGGGCACCCAGCAATCCTGAGCACGCTGTGGAAGAGCTATGATCCAGCGCCTGCCAGGGATATCAGCTCTTGCATGGGCTGTTGCCCACACCCTCGGACACCTCTCGTTTCTGCCGCGAGAGGGGGACGCTGGTGTCCAGGCTGCTTTCTGCTGTGTGTAAAGAGCAAAAGCCAGCCAGGGGCGGCGGGGGGGTGACGGCCGGCCATGCGGTGGAGACAGTAGAAATAGCAGAGCACCTTGTCAGGCGAACCCTGTCCTTCCTGCAAGTTCAACTGTCCTTTTCTGGAGGCTTGTCTGCTGCAGTGGGCTGGAGAAAATATTTATTCTCTAGGGAAATACTTTTGTGTCTGTAAATAGCAGTGTCTGTAACTGGCAAACCATCCAGCTGTTTGCATTATCCGAATGCGAGGAATATTTCTAATGAATCTGGAATAGAGGACATTCCATTTTCAATAAAATTATTAAATATGTCTTCAGTTTGTTATTGCACCTCATAAGAATGGCCAGACTAGGTCAGACCAAAGGTCCATCTAGCCCAGTGTCCTGTCTGCCGACAGTGGCCAATGCCAGGTGCCCCAGAGGGAGGGAACGGAACAGGGAATCATCAAGTGATCCCTCTCCTGTCATCCATTTCCAAACAAACGGAGGCTAGGGACACCATTCCTACCCATTCTGACTAATAAGTATTGATGGACCTAACCTCCATAAATTTACCTAGTTCTTTTTAGAACCCTGTTAAAGTCCTGGTCTTCGCAGTATCCTCTGGCAAGGAGTTCCACAGGTTGACTGTGCACTGTGTGAAGAAAAACGTCCTTTGGTTTGTTTTAACCCTGCTACCTATTCATTTCATTTGGTGACCCCTAGTTCTTACGTTATGGGAACAAACAAATAACTTTTCTTTATTCACTTTTTCCACACCATATCCTCTCCTTAATCTCCTCTGTTGTAAAATGAAAGTCCAAGTCTTTTTAATCTCTCTTTGTATGGGACCTGTTCCAAGCCCCTAATCATTGTTTTGCCCTTTTCTGAACCTTTTCCAATGCCAATAGATCTTTTCTAAGGTGAGGCGACCCGATCTGTACGCAGTACTCAAGATGTGGGAGTACGATGGCTTTATACAGAGGCAGTAAGATATTCTCTGTCTTATTCTCGATCCTTTTTTAAATGATTCCTAACATTCTGTTTGCTTTTTTGGCCACTGCTGCACACGGCATGGATGTTTTCAGAGAACTACCCGCAGTGACTCCAAGATCTCTCTGTTGAGTAGTTGTAGCTAAATTAGCCCCCATCATATTGTATGTACAGGCAGTTCCCGGGTTACGTACAAGATAGGGACTTGTAGGTTTGTTCTTAAGTTGAATTTGTATGTAAGTCGGAACTGGTACATATTGTAGGGGAAACTCTAGCCAAACATTTCTCCAGAGCTCAGTTTTATTCTCCCACACCTCACTTCCCTCAGGGTATTATTCTCAAGCTGAGGTGTCTGCTGAGAAAAGCCGCTCCGCGTCTCCCTGGTCTGCTGGGGGGGGTGCTAGCTTCACGTCTCCCTGGTCTGCTGCGGAGAAGCAGCTAGTGTGGGGTTGCCTCACCTCGTTTGTAAGTAGGGATCCGATGTAACTCGGATCCGTGTAACCCGGGGACTGCCTGTATTACTGGGATTATTTTTCCCAGTGTGCATTATTTCCCAGTTATCAACGTGAAATTCCATTTGCCATTTTGTTGCCCAATCACTTGTTATATCGGTCAGTTTCCATTCTAAGGCCTTATTTAAAACAAGGGAGTAGCTGCATTTCAGTGTGGGGTGAAAAGATTCCTGACCCCGAGCCGTCCATTTGAGGCACGTTCTGGAGCCGGTCCAGGGTTGCTTCCCAAGATGCTGAAGAGGCAAAAAGAAGTTTGTTTTGCAGGTGGCTGTGTTCCTGTTTGAAAAGCTAATCTTGATGCTAATTTTGAAAAACTTCCTGCCAGGGTGGTGAAGCACTGGAATAAATTGCCTAGAGAGGTAGTGGAAACTCCATCACTGGAGATGTTTAAGAGCAGGTGAGTTAGACGTCTGTCAGGGATGGTCTAGATCAGTGGTCCCCAACCATTTAAGGTTGCCGGGCGCCAGGGGGCGTGGCTGTTCGTCCGCTGGGCGCCAGAGGGCGCCCCCCCCCATAGCCGCGCGCCTGGGGGTGGCGCCCCCCCCAAGCGCCGCGTGCCCGGGGCCGGCGCTCCCCTCATGCGCCGTGCGCCCAGAGCGCGGGCGGCCAATCCGCGGCGCTCCCAGGGCTGGCGCTCACTGTGCGCCCGGCTCCGGCACCATGCATGCACCACGTGCCCGGGACCAGAGTTCACACCGGCATATTTCAGACCCCCACACACTAGCCCAAAGACACTGAGTTACAAGCACACAAACTCCCTGACTGTGCCCGCAACACAGTCACTTTCGATACAACCGTGTCCTTCTCTGCACACAGCAGAGAGTCACCTGTTTTCTCTGGGACATCTTTATGGGCCCCCCACTTGATTCAGATGACAGACAGAAGAAAGTTTTCTATTAAGGAGCAGATATAATTAAGTGATGGCCGAGCTGAATACTGGATAGCACAGTTCTGTGCCACAATAGGTGAAATATGCAGCCGAGTTACCGCCACTCGGTACTTTAAATTATTTTTTTTCTGTGCCACTTCACAGAGTTTCATTCTGGCCCATTAAACACTGATCATTAAAATAAAATCTATTGGACCTGTTTATCCTGGACTCTGGAAGGAAATGTGGTTCATCATAATGCCAAGGGGAAACCCGAGAACAGCTCCAGGACTTGCCATTAGGATAACAACGGTGCATACGTTGGCTTTGATTTTTGGAGTAATAAGACGCAGCACTTGTTGTTCAATAACAGCTCTAAGTAAGCGTTCCTGGATAAGACAGGCTGGGTTGTGAGGCAGTGGGTGAGTCTAGGGATGTAATCGCAGAACCATAGAAAATTGAAAAGGATCTTGAGAGGTCATTGAGTTCAGTCCCTTGCTCTCACAGTAGGACCAAGTACCATCCCTGACAGATTTGCCCCAGATCCTCTAAATGGCCTCCTCAAGAATTGATCTCATAATCATCAGTTTAGCAGGCCAACGTGCAAACCACTGAGCTATCCCTGCCCCCCAACTATAGACTGTATAATAATTTGCCACTAGTTTGGCATTACATAATTGACAGTAACTAAATTCTAGTTGAAAAAAGAGACAGAGAACAATTCCCCCTCCCCCTCCTCCTCCTTGTAACACCCTTGTAGATACTTTAGATAAGTGTCGTTGATTAACTGATAAGCAAAAGCTTCTTGGTTAATGCTACAGAGTCTATAGACTACATGCATTTCCTTGCCCCAGCCCATCAGTAATTTTTTTAGCAGGTTGGCCAACAGCCCAGCTCAGTGCTGCATCCAGAGTCTACCCCCACTTGCGGCTCTGCGTTTAAAGTGTGTCAGGAGTGTAGATACTTTAGATAAGTGTCGTTGATTAACTGATAAGCAAAAGCTTCTTGGTTAATGCTACAGAGTCTATAGACTACATGCATTTCCTTGCCCCAGCCCATCAGTAATTTTTTTAGCAGGTTGGCCAACAGCCCAGCTCAGTGCTGCATCCAGAGTCTACCCCCACTTGCGGCTCTGCGTTTAAAGTGTGTCAGGAGCCAGGCAGGCCCCCCCGCCCAGCGCACCGGCCCCCCCCCCGGGGCTATAGAATAGTCGAGGAACCGATAAGAATCCGTGAGGTTCCTCGACTCTTCAGTTCACCGATATTTCACATCCCTGGGTTAGTCTCAATGCTTGCACCGAGCAGGTGTGGAGGTGACATTAGCAAAGAAGTAGCCTGAGATCTGATGGGTTTGTGGATTTCTATCAGAGCGGACAGCGTGGGAAAGGCCTGCGACTCATTTGGAGTCTACCAGTGGCTATTATTACCAATACTAATTTGCATAACGGTCGCCTCTAGAAGGCTCCGCCCCCCATTGTTTTAGGCGCCGTGTAAACACTTGGCGAGCGGCCGCCTCCCCCCGAAGCGTTTACATGCTTAATAGAGGGAAGGGTTTGGAGGGGGAATCCGCAAAGGGATTCAAGCTGTACAATGCCTAGCCTTTCGGCCCCTCGGAAATCCGTGGCAGACCCCTAGCAATTCACAAAGTCTGAGGGAGATGGCTCGCACCCCTCTACAATAAAGGGGAAGATATTGGTACC